AGCAGCCGGTTTTCTCCAGGGGAGCTGATCTCTGCAGTCTGGAGGTCAGTTGTGATTCCAGGAGAGAACCCGTCTGGAGGGTGACAGTCCTATTCCCAAGGTCGGGTTTGGCTCACAGGCCCAGTTTAGTGTTTGAGGAGGAGGAGATTGGGTTTATACCCCACCCTTCACCACCCGAAGGTGTCTCAGAGCGGCTTACAATCTCCTTCCCCTCCCCCTCCCCACAACAGACACCCTGGGAGGCAGGTGGGGGCTGAGAGAGCTCTAGCAGAAACGGCTCCCTCCCCAGGCTCCGCCCCCGAGAGCTTTTTCAAGAACAGCTCTTATCAGAACTACGGCTTGCCCAAGGTCATCCAGCAGCTGCAGGTGGAAGAGTGGGGAATCAAGCCCGGTTCTCCCGGATCAGAGTCCGCGCACTTCACCACGACACCAAACCGGTGAGTTCACTGGATGCTGTACTGACGATAACGTTTTGTCCGTCTGCATTATTTGCCGGTCTTTATGTTTGAAACCTGCCCTGGGCCTGCTGTGTGGTGAGGGCAGGATACAGATCTAATGAAATAAATTTAAAAAGTAAACACGGCCACCCCTGGTTTTGACTGAGAGGTGGGGACGCCAGCCTCCCAGTGGGAGTTACAGCTCTTCGCCGGACTGTGGAGATCAGTCCCCCCTGGAGAAAGCGGCTGCTTTGGCGGGAGGACTCTGTGGCGCTGGACCCGGCTGAGGTCCCCCTGCCCTCCCCAGGCTCCACCCCCGAGAGCTTCCCAACCCCCATCCGGCAACCCCACTGGGAGGGTGCTGCCCGGTCCCTGTCGATGTGCGCTTAGTCGGACTGGTAAATCCAAGCCAATATTTGTGTCTCCGCAGTGGAAGCTTTTGAAGAGGTCTCGGACAGCCTCTGCGTCCCTCAGTACAGTGAGGACGGCGAAGAACGGGTCATCCTCTTCCTGAAGATGGCCACCAACCAGGTGTTCAGCCTGGATCTCGTGCAGCGGATGAGGGAAGCGATCCGGGCAGCGCTCTCTGCCAGACACGTCCCTAGCATTATTCTGGAAACCGAAGGCATTCCGGTATGCTTAAGGCGGTGCTTTATTTCTTTTCTCCTTTCTCTCTCTCTTTCTCTCTCTCTCTCTTCCCCCATCGTCACCTTGGAATAGTAATTAAGGAGCACTTGTCATCTCTCTTCAAAGCCCACACACGCCTGGAAGTTTTAGCCTCTCTGGTTTTTGAAAAAAAGTGGATTGGAGTTTTATAAATAGTTTGGCCGAGTTGCTTAGCAACTTGTGTGTTCGTGTGTGTGTGCCTTTCTTCTTGAATAAGTCTTTCTTTTTTTAAAACCCGCCCTTCCCTAGCAAAACATCTCTCTCTCTCTCTCTGGTTTATAAATATACATGTGCTCTGTTGATATATCAAGTATTCTTGGGTGTTTCCAATCAAAGGTAAACGGGATGATTAATTTTGGCGACTTGGTATGCCAAGAAAGCCATCTTCATCCAAGCACTCTCTTCTTGCAAACCTTTGAAAGTTCTAAGAAGATGCGGGGAAGGACCTCGAAGAAATTCTGGCCGATTAACGGGCCTGCTGGATTTTAACTGGGGTGAAAACAAATTGTTCATGGAGAAAAAATATCCTGGTTTTGAGAATTTTGTGTAGGAGACTTCACAACTTCATGTTGTATACCGAGGCATGTCTGTACCAGGACTTGAGTTCGTCTTGCCCCAAGGAATCCTGGGAACTGTAGTTTTGCGAGGTACATTAGGCATTTCTGCCAGAATTCTTGGCACTGCTGCTAAGCAATGGTTTCTAGGACTTTTTTTTTTTGCCCAGGGAAAACTGAGCAGCTCAGTTCAGATTTCATGTGAAACCACATCTTGATTTAGTTAACCATGGTTAGCGTGATCGTCCAAATGAGAGCCGCCCTTACCAACTGTCGTAAATTAGGGGACGTCGAATCAGTATCCAAAGTCAGATGCTTCTGAAATCAGTTGGTTTATTTAAGTTATTTATAGTCTGCCAGTTTGGTGTAGTGGTTAGGAGCACAGACTGTAATCTGGGAGAACTGGTTTGATTCCCCTCTCCTCCACATGCAGCTGCTGGTATGGCCTTGGGTCAGTCAGAAGTTCTCTCAGAGCTGCTCTCTCAGGAACAGTTCTCAAGAGAGCTCTCAGCCCCGCCTACCTCACAGGGTGTCCGTTGTGGGGAGGGGAAGGGAAAGGAGTGAAGTGCGGGGTATAAATCCAATCTCCTCCTCTTCTCCTCACTGGGACTCAAGGAAGACTACATAGAATAAACCAGTTCAGTCAACAGAGTGGGGCATCCAGAGGACAATGCAGTAGGCCCTTGACTTGCAGAGACTTGGAAAACCAATCAGAGGCATTAACACAACACGCTAAAGAAAAGCAAAAATGACATAGTGGGAGGCCTACTTACGTCAAGAGTCAGTATGGGCTGTGCCCAGTGATACGGTCCACGGTCCACGACTTCCTACCCCAAGCCTCTCTCTGAACCACATCTGTGGTCATTCTGAACTACGGTTTTGCGTGGCATCGATGCAGACATTCTGGCTTCACTCTCCAGCAGCGGCACCTTTGCTGCACTGCGGCTGGAGACACCAGCCAGGTCTCTGAAGGGGAGAGTCCAAGTGGCATGCCCAGGGTTTAAACGAGGCTCTGATAGCCGAATCCCAGTGTCACACAAACCTCACGCCTTAGATCCTCTGGCATCATTCTGTCGGCACAAAAGTTTGTTCCTCCAACGGGACCTTCTTTCCTCTGTGGAGGAAGGAATTTCTCCTTCTCCTGCTGCAGTTTCCCCAGTTGCTCCAGGTTCAACAACCCCAAGGAGCGTTGTCACAGCTCAAATGGGGTGTCACCTGACGCTGCCACCACTCTGGTTCCAGGCTCCTCTGAGAAGGTCCAGAGTACCCTCCCAGGCCTTCAGACCTCCCTTTTAGTCGAAAGGAGCTTGAGGACCAAGCAGAGTGAACAGTGAAAACGGTTTATTTTTATAGGAGGTCAAACAAACAAGGTGCAGGAATAATAACAGTACGTGGGTGAAAAGAAATCAAATGCCCTAACGCATCTAAATATACTGTCCCTAGCTCACTATCTCAAGTGGCCTTAGACTACTCACCCTTCCCTCAGGATGAGGGTTTTTTCCCCACAGCAGCCTCTCTTCTGGCCCTATTCCCTGGGAAGAATAGCTTCTCCTCTTGCACCAGTTCTTTTATTCCCCAGCCGTCTTCTTCCCTATTGGCCAGAATCGGCGCCAAAACTTCCCAGGGCCTTCTGGGGTTTGTAGGCCCAGCCTCCCCTACTGCTAGCCAGGCTCCCTGGGCCTACTAGGCCTCCGGTGGCACAGCCCAGATCATGACAAGCGTGATTTTGGGGCACAAAGGAGGATGCAGTGAGGCAGAGAATGTGGGGAACTGGCCTTCCTGTGGCACAGCTCTCTGCGCACTCTGCTTAGAATCGAAACCCCTAGCTAAATAAATGGAAATTTTAGTTTGACCAGAACGTGCAGAGGAACGGCTTCGCGCACTCTGCTTAGAATCGAAACCCCTAGCTAAATAAATGGCAATTTCAGTTTGCTGTCGTCTCAGAAGGGATCTTTGCAAGTGGCCACTGTCCTCCCCTGGATGGCTCATGATAGCCCGATCTTGGAAGCTCAGCGGGGAGTCGGCAGGGCCTCTACAGAAGTGTGAACTGGATTCCGATCTCAGCCAGTCACTCCCTCCCCTCCATCGTGGGGCTGATGGGCATGGGGAGGCAGCCGGACCCTCAGCTGCTTGATGCTACAGGAGATATTTTTCTCCGGGCGCCTCTCTGACCAGAACGTGCAGAGGAACGGCTTCGAGGTTGTTTGCGACAGCTGGCTAACTCCAGGAACCCTCGTTTGGATCATTAATTAGTTCACACGCTCGGAGGGGGATTTAGAACTGAATTCTAATTATGCTGGTGTACCGGTTGAAACGTCCTGAGCAACATTTGAGACCGACAAGAGTTGTAGGGTATAAGCGTTCCAAGGGTTTGGTGTAGTGGTTAGGAGCGCGGACTCTAGTCTGGGAGAACCGGGTTTGATTCCCCACTCCTCCAGCTGCTGGTGTGACCTTGGGTCAGTCACGAGTTCTCTCAGAGGTGTTCTCTCAAGGGCAGTTCTCTCTGAGCTCTCCCAGCCCCGCCTACCTCACAGGGTGTCTGTTGTGGGGAGGGGAAGGGAAAGGAGTTTGTAAGCTGCTCTGAGACTCCGAGTGAAGGGCGGGGTCTAAATCCAATCTCTTCTCTTCTTTCCTTCTTCTTCTTCTTGCCTGTCCTCATGGCTTTGTTATTGAACCCACAGTACACGATAAATGGAAAGAAAGTCGAAGTGGCCGTGAAGCAGATCATCGCTGGGAAGGAAGTTGAGCAGCGGGGCACCTTCTCCAACCCAGAGACGCTGGACCTTTACCGGGATATCCCCGAGCTCCGCGGCTTCTGAAGCCATCGGCCGCCCTGCCTCCCTGTGTTTGTGTGTGTGCGTGTGTGCGTGGGGCTTTTGTACCATGTATATATGTATATGAATACTGTGTCTAAAGGAGAGCCTCTTATTTAAGTTACGGTGTTTCCTTTTTATAAGGAGCAGTGCTGTCCCTTGGATACTGCATGGCGCGGCTTGGGGTGGAAGTTGCAGATTTCCCTCAACTCTGATACCAGGCGTGGGGCCTTTTATAAGATGCTTAACACCTCTTCCCCCCCC